TATATATATATGATAACATACTTTAAAAAAAATCATCTTGAACTCATAAAATAATCAAATCATAAATAGTGATAGTATTCTCACTTTAATTTTTTACACTAATGAAATTTTAGTGATAAAAAAAGGAATTTTATTTTATTCTTATTTTCTTTCCAACTTTTTAGTGATAAAATACTAATGAAATAATTTTATTCTATCAATTTATTTTATTTTATGAACCATAATGTTGGAATTGTGAAAGGAATGATAAGAGAATATTTGTTTGATTTTTCTATTTTTTTTCACTCTTAAAATGTGTGACTTTATATGGTTCAAATATAATAATGAAGAAAAATTCATCCTCTATTACATTATTAAAGAGAGTAAAAATTTTATAAAAAAAAAATTATAACATCGTATCTTCTAACAGTCGGTAAAAGCCTTCTCAAACAATCTCCTTGCTGGAAATCCTTGAAGCCTTCTCAAACAATCTCCTTGCTGGAAATCCTTGATTCAACGGAATCCAACTCTAAGTCTTCATTGATGCTGCAAATATTAAGGTTTTACGATTATTAGAATTTCAAAACAATTAACAAATAAATAACTTCAAGTCAGATGGTTTTAGCTCACAATAACACTAAGAATAAGTAGCTAAAATTCAATAAAAGAGAATAAGAACGTGCATTCATAGACATAATGAATTTCAAAATAACAATGGAATCGCTAAGAATAGGACTATACAAGGTAAAAAAGCTTAAATATAATTTTAGTTTCTTAAAATAATTGAATTTTGATTTTTGTTCGTTTCAAATAATATTTATTTGATTTTCATCCCTCTAAAATCTAAAATCTAAAATCTTTATTTTTAATCTTTAATGATAATTTTAAAAAAGATAAATAACATTTATTTTAAAAACCTATAAAAATATTTTAAAATATTACACATTAACATAGGATCATTAACAATAATGGATAACACTTGAAATAGTCAAATGATTTTTTAATAAACAAATAAATAGTTAGAAATGATTACATAATAATAGAAACTAAAAAAATAATAATTCTAAATTACAGAGATAAAAAAAATAAAGAAAAACTTGTTTAGAGACTAGAATTGAAACTATTGATTTCACAAAAACTAAAAGTATATTTAAATCAAATAAAAATTACGAAAATTAATCAACTAACATTAGATAGATGAGAATTCCATAGTCATTTTACTTGAATTCCCTTTTTATTAAAATAATAAGGATGTCAATGATCAAACTCCTTACAACTAGGTTAAGGAAGGAAGCACTGCATCATATATCAATAACCAACTCTGTCTCACAAGCTTAGTTGCTACTTTAAGGTTGATTTTATATTTGTAAGAATGAACAGACATTGCAGTCTACTTTCCTGTTAACCCTCCTCTACAATCAACACCCTCTCACACACATTCAAAATAATAAAAAATAATAATAATTGCAGTTTAATGGCCCAACATTAAAACTTCTATAACTCGTACGTTTCACATCAGTAAAATATATTGACTCAACAGTAAACAGGAAGAGACCCAAGAAACCCACCAGTACATATCTCCAATAAGAAGCGATTTTTTGCGGATCCAATCTGGCACCAACTTTTCCAGAGACTCAACCCGTTCTTCAACTTCTCCTATAGAGGTAGCAATATTAGTTAATTGCATTCTATTAATAACAATCAACAAGAAATCATGTAGTAAACAAGTGAATTAGAACATACTAATATCAACAAAATCCAAACTGTTGGTAAGTATTTTCTGCATGAGCTCCTCTTTTGTGATTGGGATTCTGTTGACGGATTGAAATATAGAATGAATCACTTTAACCAGATCCAGCAACTGTGAATGTTTTTTATGCTGTGTATCTAGACCGGTTTGATTTTGGGTGTGAGCCTGCGTTGAAAAGCCAAGTTACAAGAAAGAAAACACTTTCAGAAGAAGAAAAAAATTCTAATAAAATTCACAAGGAAATAATTGAAAATTTGCTCATGATTATTCATAAAGAATTTTTATGTAAAACCACTAAATATGTTCAAAAGGTATCATACATGTACATCAAAGATCTTGCTATTAATTAAAAACATGGATACTCGAAGCTACTGAAGCAGGGATAACTCAAGAAAGAAAAATAAATACTGTATGGTGTATACAAGGTTATAATGATAAATCCCATCCCATCAATCTAAAAGGACAAGGAACAATCACCTAGTATAGCTAGGGAGTTAATAAAAGAAAATATTTTCGTATGACTACCCTCATTTTCATTTTCTATCTTTCAAACATTTCTCACTCCTTATATTCATTATTTTGTCATAATCATATCTTGTCTCACTTTTTTAATTTATGCATGCATGCACCTATTAAATAATCAGATCTTAACGTGAACTATTACTCACAAAAATTTTATCATAGTATTGATACGAAGTATCCACCACCGAAAGCAGTAATAATCTCCGTTGGGGACGGTGAACACATACAAGATAGGTATTATAATATTAGAAGAAAAAAATTTATTTCATTCAAAATGGAATAATTAGTGAGTATGAGAAGAATATGACAGAAGAATCACTCAAAAATTGATAAAGGTGTGATAGGCATACCTCTTGAAGAACAGGAACAGAGTCAGAAGAATTGCAATCATCGGAGCATGCTCTAATAGATTCAGGAAAGCCATGCGGAAGTCTGCTAGATTCTAGCTTGTCTAGACTAATGTCCAAGTCATCATTACCTTCCATGAGTGTAAAGTCAAGCACTCTTTTTGCTGGCTTATGATACGATGATGACTTCTGGGTAGACATGTTCCGGGGCTTAACATCAGAAATGGGCAATAATCTTGCAGGTGCCGACTGGGCAGGTGTCTCTGTCATAAAACTATCATATCTGGGCATATTTTTCACCTTTGGGGTTTCAGAATTATTGCAAGTAACAGAATGGGGGCCGATAGTATGTACTGGGGTATTAACAACACTAGGTTGAGAAGACATCGAAAATAATTTCTTATGGTGCTCTGTTTCCATATTGAGACTAGCAACATCATCAGCTAATGGTGCACATCCTTTCTGCAATGCCTTCTCACTTTCTTGGTTATCCAGACAATCAGACGCATGAGATGATGGAGAAGTTATTGTGGATGAAAACTCAACCCTTTCTGTCTGCAATGCCTTTTCACTTTCTTGGTTATCCAAACAATCAGACGCATGAGATGATGAAGAAGTTATCGTGGATGAAAACTCAACCCTTTCTGTTTGGTCAGCAATATTCTTCCGAGAAAACCGCCTCCTAAATAATGGATACACTTCGAAATTCCCCGACATTTCAATTTGATTGGAAGTTGACAAAAGTTTTGTCGAAGAATTTACACGTAAAGATTGGCATGAAAAGTCTTTAACATGAGAATCTTCGCAACTCAAACCACGAGCTTTTCGGTTAAAGGGTTCTGGCAGTTGGGCTTCTGGAATATCAGCAACCTTGTTCACAATCACAACAAAACCAAAAAAAAAATATCAAACATGTTTTTTTTTATCAATCACACTTTTAAAAATTTCTAGCCAACTAAAAATAATAAAAGCAAATAACTGAGCATGATCCAAGAAAAAAGCAGTTATATAAAGGTAGCCTAACCACATAATCATACATATCTATTGTTATGATATTATCAACAAGCCATTTTTTAACTACGTGACAGTATTTTCTACATCAGAGTTTTTTTGCAGATAACTTATATGCCACCACGATATTGATTTTGAGTCCCACCATCAATGATTCTATGTACTATATTACCATAAAATGTTAGTATTACATTAACAATGCAGGTACTAAAATGTATCGCTCAAACACAACCAAACAACTTCAAAAACATCCTAAGATTAGAGAAGAAATGCAGATATAAAAAATGATACCGTGCATCTCAAAACATCTAAAGATTATAAAATAATCTCATACCACTGTTTAGGTGTGACAATAATCACACACGTGACAGCTAAATATTTAGATTATAGAATAATACAATAACACATTGAACTAAGAATTAACAACTCAAAATTGAAAAATTTACCTCGGGATGAAGAACAAGGAAATTAACAAGACTAGAATTAAAATATCGCCGAAGAGCCAGATCAGCAGATTCACCAGAGTGATCTTCCACAACTTCATATCTCAAGATGATGTTCAGATCAGGCACCATACACAAGGTCTTCTTATCATGAACAAGAATCTTGTCTATACATATACCATCAGGGAGTATGTGCTTCATCTGTGCAAGATGGACATAGGAAATTTTCCTGCAAACAAAACTCGCTTCCCTCACTTCCTTATCCCATCAATGAAAACCCTTAAACAAATTCAGAGCATTTAAATAATAAAAAATAACAACAACAAAAAATGCACCTCTTCGAAAGAATTTCAACTTGTCTGGAAACATTTTGAAAAGTTGGAGGCTTTTTACGCAGACGCAGCAATCTGAGTGAACAACTCATGTGACTAAACAACTCCGCAAGCGTCCAGTGTCTTAGCAGAAGAAAAACTCAAATTTCAATTTTCTACTAAATTTAAAGAAGAAAAAAAAGACATTGAAGAGCAAAATTTCTCCAAAATTTTTCCGAAAATGCAAGGAATTAAATAGAGAGCACACTTTTGTGGAATCTCAGTTTGTCCCTCTCTGGATGCGATGGTTAAGGGTTCAGAGTTCTTCTGCGGCGTGGGACACGCAATGGATTCGTCAACTACTTGAAGAGCCTTCTCGCACTTGAAATCCGAAGCGATTTTTGATGAATCCTCACACGATTTGTGTTCCATTTTCAATGGCGATTCGAGAAACCCTAGATAGGTGAGTGAGGTGACTGTTGCGAGGGAAAGTGTATGTTCAAATATCGTTTTTCGTGATGGCTCAATAGTCCCTTATCTCGCGGTATTGTTTTATTTATACCGGAGAAAATATAACCGTTGAATCACTAAAGAAGAAAATATTAAATACAATGAAAATTTTAATTTATTCTTATATTTGTAAGGTTTATATATTATATTAATTTATTTTAATATATATAGTACGGAAGAGACACTATATGCTTCTATTATTTAGAAGAGAAAAAAAAAACATGATTATCAATTAGTTAGAGATTTACAAAAAGTATAAGAAAAAATAAATAAAAATAAATAAAAAATAGTGAAATAAATAGTGGGAGAGAATAGTATGAAAGTTATTATAAGGATAAAATTGTAAAAAAAATTGTGTAAATCAAATTAAATTATCATTTTTATATAGAAGTAGGATCAAGGCACTTTGTGACTTTATATTTATTTAAATATATTTAAAAATTACTAGTTTGTTAAAATTAGTGTTACGGTTAAAACTTAAACCTCATAGTCTTAGGCTTGTTAAAATAGTTAATTTTTAATATTATTTTTTATTATTTAAAATTTAAGGACAAAATAATTTAAAATTTATGTATTCGAAAATAGGGAGTCGTTTTTACGTATAGGAATAAATTATAGATTATAGATTTTATATATAAAGAGAGAGTTACCTCACTCAATAATTCATGTTTCACATTAAATTTTAACAATTTAACCATTGACTTAAGAGTTATTAAAAAATAGATCAAGTCTGCAAATTTTTAAAAAATTAAGAATCATATGATATTTCATTATATAGATTCAAATCAATGTATAAAATATTTTATGGTTATCCGTCAATTTGAATTTATAAAATAAAATATCATATAATTTTAAATTTTTAAAAAAATTACAAATTTGATCTATGCATTAAAAATTTATTATTCAGCAGTTGAATTATTAAAATTTAATGTAGAGTATGAGTTATTAAGTGGAGTAATCTCTCCTCATA